ATAATAATTGCACATGACGACTTTGCACGACGATTCCATATGACGACCGCGTACAATGACTCGTGCACGACCGGCTCTGCAAGCACGAATATCGCGTTTGGATTTCTAAGAATTGAAATAAGAAAAGAGGTGGTGGCTAAACCGCGAGAGAGTGGAAAAAAAAAAAACACGCTTCGTGTGTGTGTATGGTTGCAGGTCTTTGCGGCAAACTGCTCGACTCGACAAACTGCAGCGAGCACGAGGGCGAGCTTTTTTGCAAAGTGTGCCACGGTCGCAAGTTCGGCCCTAAAGGATACGGCTTCGGCGGTGGCGCTGGTTGCCTGTCCATGGATCAGGGCGAGCACTTGAAGAGTAGCGAGTGAGTGCACCTGTCGTCGTCCAACCACCCCTCCCCAACCACCCCTATCTGTCTACGCGTTCCCTCGACCGAAAAAAGAAAATGAAACAACAACAAAAAAAAAAACAAAAAAAAAATGGAACAATGTAATCTCTTGCTCTCTTTATCTCTCTCTCTCTCTCTCACTCTCACTCTGTCTCTCTATCTCTTTACTCTCTCCGAGTCGTTCGTAATCGCCTCACCCGTGAAAACCATACGCGTCGTTGAGCCCTCGAAAAAAAAAAAAATAAAAAGAGAAAGAAAGAAAGCAACAAACAGAAACACGTACCATCGAGCGAGCAACGAGCCAGCACGAATCACACTCTTCTTGCGCACGGTAACACGAGACCCGTGGACGAATCGAATCGGAAGGAACGATCAACCGAAGGAGCACGCGTCTGCGTATACGTGTACCGCCACGCCACGCCCACGCCACGCCCACCGCCCCCACCCCTCTTCCCTTTTACCGATTTCTTAATTTGAATTTTTCTGAAAATTTTAATTTCAATTGAAATATTAATAACAATAATTTCACGTTATTCTTGAATTTTCGTTTTTCCCCCCCCCCCCCCTCCCCCACCCACTCACCCTTTTAGACTAGACCGTAACCGTTCACGAGCAGAGCCACAGCATTTCGTTTCTACCCCCGTCGCCCTCGACTATTAATTGTCTTTTGTTCTGTTCGTTGCGTCTTTCGTGTCTTTAACGCGCGCGTCGCGTCCGCCGTCCTCCCACTCCGCCCACTTCGGGTCCTCCCCTTTGTTTCTCCTCCGTTCGTCCGTCGCTCTTCGCCCCGTTCCGAAGTTTCCGTCGTTCATCGGCGCCGACAGCGATGATACATGGTGATGGTTATATGGTGAATTGGTGATGATAATATACGACGACCACGACAACGACGACGACGACCGTATATAATAATTATAATTAACTGTGTTTTTAATCTAGTCGACTATTCTTTCGTCAACCCCACGTTTTAACTTCTCCCGTTACAATTCTTTTCTTCTTTTTTTTTTTTTTCGTTCTTCTCCGTTTCTTCTACTTCTACTTCTTTATACACACATATATATATATATATATATATATATTTTTCTCTCTCTACATTATCTTTGGTTCCGTTTTGATTTGGTCACACGACTCACCGTGTGTCTTTTCGTTTCCGTTAGAGCGGCCATTTCTACACGTACGCTATACATATATGTATATATATATGTATATATATACATGTGTGTGCGTGTGTGTGTTGTGTGTGTGTGTGTATATATATATGTATGTATACATTACACTTTCTCGTTTCTTTTATGCGATTTACCACATACATTATGCTAGTTTATAGAATCATTTGTACCATCTGTAATAAGTGCCATTAAAAGACGAAAAAAAAGGGAATGGAAAAAAAAAACAAAAACAGAAAGATTTCTTTGTTGTTCCTTATCGACGAAAAAAAAAAAAAAAAATAAAGGATTCTCTCTTCTCATGTCGCTCGCGATAGAGTAACAATCGCGAACGCGTACCGGCTGGACAAAAATGTTCTCGCGTTATCGGGTGGTCGAGAGGTTCGCGTCTTTCGTCCGAGTTACCGTTTTCGTTTCTTTTCATTGTAGAAGACAAAAATTACGCGTGGTACAGATGAGCCGCGTTGGCCCCACGACGGGCCCGATTACGCGACGTACGTCGATAACATTTTTGACCCGTCTGTACACATGCACACCGCCCCGCACACCCCACCCCACCGTCCCTCCCATCCTCCCGCCATCCCGCTTAGATTGTACGTAGTGCGTTGAAACGCGACAAAAAAGAAGGGAAACGTGCGACCAGATCGTTCCCTTTGGGGGAAAAAATAAAGCACGGCGTCGACGGATTAAGCGAAGAACGTCGGCCGGGAATGGTTCACGGGGATGATAAGAACGAAAAAGAACGTGAAAGAGTCTCTCTGACACGCCCCCTCACCCCCCCTTCCACCCCCACCCCACGCCACCAACGCGCACACACACGGTGTCGACCCTCCGTCGCGTGAAAGTATAGAAGACTGGAAACGATTTTTAACCGACTTCGAAAAGGAGGAGGTTACTCAATTCGACGTGTATATTTAATTTTGTGTGTGTGTGTGTGTGTGTGTGTTTTGTGTATGTTAGTCGACTGCGTCCACATGGCTTGACCGATCGGGATGAAACCTATTGCATCTTGTAGAGAATGTCACGGTGGTGGTACCATTGTAAACAAATTTTGGAATTTCTCACTTTTACCCCCTTTTTTTTTTTTTTTGAAAAAACTGAAAAATTTTGTATCGCTTCTTATTCTGTAACGAATTGACCGATCGGGATGAAACCACTTGCATCTTGTAGAGAATGTTTCGATGGTGGTCCCATTGTAAACAAATTTTGGAATTTCTCATTTTTACCCGTTTTTTTTTTTTTTGGAAAAACTGAAAATTTTTGTATCGCTTTTTATTTCGAAACGAATGGACCCATCGGGATGAAACCTGTTGCATCTTGTAGAGAATGTCACGGTAGTGGTACCATTGTAAACAAATTTTGGAATTTCTCACTTTTTACTAATTTTTTTTTTTTTTGTTTGAAAAACTGAAAAATTTTGTATCGCTTCTTATTCTGTAACGAATCGACTGATCGGGATGAAAGCTGTTGCATCTTGTAGAGAATGTTTCGATGGTGGTACCATTGTAAACAAATTTTGGAATTTCTCACTTTTACCCCCCCCCCCCTTTTTTTTTTTGAAAAAACTGAAAAATTTTGTATCGCTTCTTGTTTCGAAACGAATCGACCGATCGGGATGAATCGCACGGTAATATACGTGGTGACTGGTTGGATTTTAATCGAAAGTGTGCGTGTTCGATTAATTGTTTCGGAGAATGTATAAAAAGGCAATCGGAACGACGCGATTCACGCTACGGAGTGGTTAACGGTGACGTGTCCCCTGGGAACGATACCTGCCAACCCCCGGCCTCCTTTAGCCCCTCTCCACCCGCCCCCCCCACTCCCCCTGGAGCCCCTTGTAATTTTTTTTTAAGAAAGAAACGAAAGAAAGTACACGAAAGTGGAAAAACAAAACAAAGAAACACCCTGCTACCCCCGCCAGCCCCGCCGAGTGCGAGCCAACCAGAGGTCCATTGAACAATATATGTTGTCGCTTTATCACGAGCCTGCACGCATCCCTCGTGATAAAGGGAAATACCGAGTAACCAAAAAATAAATGGTGAGCACCTGAGTCAGATTCCGCCTCTCTCTCTCTCTCTCTCTACTCTCTCTACTCTATCTAACTCTCTCTATCTCTCTTTTCACACTAAATTCTTCTTCATTCGCTCTCTCTCTCTCTTTCTCTATCTCTGCCTTTTTCTCTTTTTCTGCCTCAGTCTACGCGTGATGAAACAAGAAACAACGCTTATTTATTTTTGTTTCTTTTTGGTACTATCTTTGTCTATCTCTTGTCTACCGCTGTCTCTATCTCGACGACTTTTTTTTTTCTTTTTTTTTTCTTTTATATCGATTCCGCACACCTGCACGGCCTCTCGTACCTTTTTTTCAATACAAGTAACCCCGTAACCTTGCTAACACGATAACTCTGTGGGTGCTTCCGTAGCCGCACCAGAGATGGGCGAAATTCTGCGAAAACAAATATCTTATCCGTTCGTTTATTCGGTGAATTTATTTACGGACCGTGATAGGTAGACGTGTACATCGAATTAACGCGGGACGCTGGCGATTACGTGAAAAAGACGAGACTTCGGGATCGTCGTTTGTGAAATACAACATGTTCGAATAACGAATAAAAAGTTATTTAATCGTGATCCGTGGACTCGTTCGAGAGGTTTTGTTTATTAGTTCGAATTTCCTGACTGTCATTTAGGAAGGGTCGATTCCTTATTTGCAATTTTTTATTCGTTATTCGTACATTTATTCGTTATTCGAAATTATCCATTTGTCATTCGCGAAGGTCAATTGATTATTCGAAATTTTTTAACTGTTATTTATGAAGGATCGCAAACTTATTTGCAATTTTTTATTCGTTATTCGTACATTTATTCGTTATTCGAAATTATGCACATGTCATTCGAGAAGGTCAATTAATTATTTGAAATTTTTTAACTGTTATTTAAGAAGGGCCGACTCGTTATTTGCAATTTTGTATTCGTTATTCGTACATTTATTCGTTATTCGAAATTATCCATTTGTCATTCGAGAAGGTCAATTGATTATTTGAAATTTTTTAACTGTTATTTAGGAAGGGCTGACTCGTTATTTGCAATTTTCTATTCATTATTCGTACATTTATTCGTTATTCGAAATTATGCACATGTCATTCGAGAAGGTTAATTTATTATTCGAAATTTTTTAACTGTTATTTAAAAACGGTCGACTCGTTATTTGCAATTTTCTATTCGTTATTCGTACATTTATTCGTTATTCGAAATTATCCATTTGTCATTCGCGAAGGTCAATTGATTATTCAAAATTTGTTAACTGTTATTTATGAAGGATCGCATACTTATTTGCAATTTTTTATTCGTTATTCGTACATTTATTCGTTATTCAAAATTATGCACATGTCATTCGCGAAGGTCAATTGATTATTCGAAATTTTTTAACTGTTATTTAAAAAGGATCGACTCGTTATTTGCAATTTTCTATTCGTTATTCAACGACCTATATTCGTTATTCGAATTTTTGTATTTGTTATTTAAGAATCACAATTCGTTATTTCAAATTGCCTATATCCCATTTGAAAAGCCCAATTCATTATTCGATATCCCCTATATGTAATTCGGAAAGGTCCATTTATTATTCGAAACTTTTTATTCGTTATTCGATATCCTTCGAAGATTATTCGACAATTTTTTCATTCGCCTGAAGGTCGATTAACCGCTTGAAATTTTCTACTCGGGATTTAAAACATTCCCCTGTCGACTAAAAATGTTCTATTCGTCGTTGTACGTTTTACTGGTTATTCAAGAATGTTATTTAGACAAGAGTTTCGCCCATCTCCAGCACACGCTTGGCTTACAGAGATCACGCACGGCCGTAGAGATAAAAACCGTAGACGAAGCTTCAGCAAGGCACCTCGGTTCAAACTCAGCTGCGATTCTCTCTCTCCTCCTCAGACGAACTTTCTTTTCTCTCTCGTCTTTCTACCCCTCTTTCCCGCCCCTCAATCGCACCTCCTCCCCTCTCCTCCGTAACCCTCTGCCTCGCTCTTTGTCCTCACTTTTACTTTCTTTTTTCTTCTCTCTTTTTTTTCCGAGTAAAGTGTATTATTTATTTATTGTGAACACACGATCCGCTTCTTGGCTCTCCTCTCGGGGCTCGGCGGAAGCCACTTGCGTGGTTGCAAACGGGAAAAGGGATACTAACCGACTGCTAACATGTGCCTAACACCCTAACCAAACATTTGTTATTCTGTGACGGGTTTCTGGTAATACTTTTGTACCTTGCGTTGCCGAAACTGCGAGCGGCGGGACGGCGCCCGGAACTTCCAATCCGTTCGACGTGCTTTCACGGACTCCGTCCGACTCCGGAGCTCCCGACTCTCTCAGCGCGCGAACCGGTGGCGCAAACTACACGCTGATATCGCAAGCAAAGATACAAAAATTTCTTAGAACCTTGGATAACTCACGTAAATTTTTGTATCTTCCTCCTCGAAACGAATTCCAAGTTCCTCCGTGCTGCTTTCGCTGCTCGATTCCCTTTCTTCTGTTTCTTTTTTGTGGTGGTGTTTTTTTCTACTATTTTTGCTTCACCCTGGTGGTTCCCAACCCCCACTCCAACGCCCTCGAACAATCGACCACCTCGTTTGCATTCAATTTTGGCAACGATTTCTAAGAATAATTGTAAGATTTAAGGTGTACTGCTCGTGTTTTTTTTATTTCTTTTACGGGGGGTGGGAGTGGTCATTGGAGCACGCCAGTTGGGAACCACCGCTGATTTCGACGGGTGTGAGAATCTGATCGCTACAACGGGTCACGTTTTTAGGGAGCTCGCGCGAGGATCGAACGCCGTGATGGAGCCACGCGCCATTGCAAAGGCGCCCGAAGGAGAGGGATGCCCCCGGTGCGGAGGATACGTCTACGCCGCTGAGCAGATGTTGGCGCGCGGAAGGGTGAGTTTCTACCCCGATAGAACCGCCACCACCGTAGATGTAGGACTCTAATCGTCACCTTGGTGCCGCGACGTGGTGTCGAGCAACGCCACGAAATCAATTTTTTTCTTTTTTTATCCCAATCTTATTCTCCGAGAATCGAAGTTAATGCAAGAATTACGAGGAAATAGAAAGTCCACCGTTATTTTTCTGGAGACTTTCTGATTCCCTAAAAATTAAATACAGGGTCTCGCAAAAATTAAATACAGGGTGTCCCAAAAATGTTATAACTCTTTGAGGGGGGGGGGGGGGTGATTCGGAAGGTGATTTGAAACAACTTTTTCCTTAGCGAAAATGTTGTACGAGCCTTCGTTTAGGAAATATTAACGGAAAAGCTCGGACCAATCAGAGCGCGAGTATACCGATGGAGCGCTCGTGGTAGCGTATTAGCGCGGCCACCTAGCGCGTAGCCACGCCCACTGCTGGCACTCCATCGGCATACTCGCGCTCTGATTGGTTGGAGTTTTTTGTTAATATCTCCTCAACGAAGCCACGGACAATATTTTCGCTAAGGAAAAAGTTGCTTCAAATCACCTCTACTCTGTGTATACAGGGTTTCCGAAAAATGTTGTAACACATTGAAAGAGGTGATTCGGGAGGTGATTTGAAACAACTTTTTCCTTAGCGAAAATATTGTCCGTGGCTTCGTTGAGGAGATATTAACGGATAAAGCTCAACCAATCAGGGGGCGCTCCATCGGCATACTCGCGCTCTGATTGGTCGGGGTTTTCTATTAATATCTCCTTAACGAAGCCACGGACAATATTTTCGCTAAGGAAAAAGTTGTTTCAAATCACCTCCCGAACCACCACTTTCAATGACCTCCACCATTTTTGGGACACCCTGTATAAATTATTTTACTCGAAGCAATATTTTACTGGGACGTATTATCGTAGCATTTGTTATATTTAAAATAGTTTTCGAAACGACTTGTTTACTCCAAAATTTGTCTCGAAATCCGACGCTCGCTTAGTTTCGTACAATGAATTCATAACGAAAAGCAAAATAAAAAATTAAAAAGAAATTTTTAGACGGATCTCAATCCAAAGTGTCCATTTAATTAATTCCGTTAGAGAGTCCCTTCTCAACACGCGATTTCGTTATTTGAGCGAAAAGTTTTCCTCGCAAATGGAGTCCACGGGTATCGGTTACGGTTGGTCCGCGAATTCCAAGATGGCGTCGAACGATCCGTAGCTAAAATTGACCAGCTGACGCGGTGCCAGAATCGCGATCAGCCACCGTAATCTTATCGTATGACGAAACACGGATAATTTCACAACAATGAGGGGAAAAAAGAAACGTGAGAGCGGTGGAGAAACCGGAGTACGAGTCTTTGGTAGCTTGTTGCAGTTGGTGGCGGCCCAAAAACTTTTCTCGACTTACGTCGACGGTTGGCAGACCACCAACTGGCTGCTCGCTACCAGTTTTACGTTGGAAAATAACTTGGAGCGAGACGCGGAACCGCCTGAACCCTAATTGGACCTCGCGGACTACCGATTATCCGTCATCCTATCGATGAGAGATTGAATTGAGCGTTGTACGCTAGTTTCATTGAAGTTGAGACGCGTTCAAGTGCTATCGACAGGAATAGCTCAAAGTGGAATCGTGTATTTTCAAGCGTGAGGGTAGTAGAACTTTTGGTGTCCCTTGGAGGATTTATTAAATCCTTTTATTGCCTTTTGTAGGGCTTATAGAACCTTTACGACCCTTCAGTACCACTTGCCGATAAAGAAATCTAACCTCAAACACATTAACATCAACATACAATTGACATGGAATAACGAAATTAGTGAAAATTAAATACGAGATGATATTTTAACATATAAAGCTTCAAGAAATAGAAATTTACAAATTATAAAAACACATAAGTCGGCGGAGATTCGAACCCGCGACCCGAGGACTGTCAGTCACTCGCTCTACCAAGTGAGCTATTCTCTATCCCCACTTATAATTGTACAATGTTTGATTTTATTCTACAATTTTCTTTTCGAAGAATAAAATATACTTTTTAGCATCACTTTGCAATACATTTATAGGTAAACAATTTTTACATTATACAATGTTTAACTATAGTTTGAAATTTGTTATGCATTACTATATTGTATGTGACTTGTTAAAATACCTTCTTATACTATATCTTTATATTCTATTCTATTTTCTGTGCATACATGTTTGGGATTAAAATTCGCTACCAGGAACAGACTATAGTAAACATCACGCGTAGCTTGTACGTCACAGAGAGTTAACTGACCGAATTACAATTGCTACACTGTATCTTAACATTGATTGAGTGTTCCACTGTCTGTGCAGTGAGCCAACTTCCACACGAAGGGAACAATGAGCTCGAGTTATTTTAGGCCTGTACAATGGGTCAAGCTAGTTCCTACTTGTGGCTACTTAACAAACTCAAATCCTTCTTAAAAAAATACAATTAAAAAAAAAAAAACATTAAATAACAATTTTTAAATTTAATTAAATTTTTAAAATGATTATTTGTTATTTTTTAAAAGAATAAATTGTTTACAATTTTCTTATTTATCGATAACAAGGAGAACGACAATTTCACGTGTCTTTTTCAATTTTTAAACATCTATCGTTACACGAAAATTAAAACTTTTTCGACCATTTTGTTATAGACGATCGTTCGTTACTTTTCAAAAGAACAATTTTTCTCGTCACGCAAACCTCGCAACAAATATACATATAATATACTGTATATATACGATTACAAAATACGAAAACTTTTAAAAATAAACTAACAACTGCCATACGTTCCTAAATAATTATTTTTGGAAAAATAGTACTTGGTTCCCTAGCACAATACGCGAACGAAAATGGTAGGCTGGTACACGTCCAAACGAACAACTTGTTGATCTCTTGGTTAAAATTTCAATTACTATTTCGAATAATTATCACTTGATTTATTTACACAATTTTCTGAAAGAGGCTTTGGTATTTTGCTTTTCAATTAAACACAAATGGTATCGAGCATATATCCAATTTATGCGATATATTATATTTATATTAATTTTCCAAGATTAATCAATGTTTATCGGAAAATGTTATTAGTTTATTTTCAAAAATTGTCGTATTTTGTAATCGTATATATACGGTATATTATATATACAGGGTGTCCCAAAAATGGTGGAGGTCATTGAAAGAGGTGGTCCGGGAAGTGATTTGAAACAACTTTTTCCTTAGCGAAAATGTTGTACGAGGCTTCGTTACGGAGATATTAACGGATAAAGCTCGACCAATCAGAGCGCGAGTATGCCGGCGGAGCGCGGTCGCCTAGCGCGTAGCCACGCCTACTGCGGGCGCTCCAACGGTATACGCGCGCTCTAATTGGTCCGGGGTTTTCCGTTAATATCTCCGTAACGAAGCCTCGTACAGCAATTTCGTTAAGGAAAAAGTTGTTTCAAATCACCGTCCGAACCACCTCCCTCAATTAGTTACAACATTTTTGGGACACCCTGTATATTAGCCAATATACTCCCCCTCTACCCCCTTCGTCGAGACTGTACCAGTTTTCTCCGATATCGGTTCGGACGAACTACGAATTGCTCGTCGCGGCACCAAGGAATCCCCCCCCCCCCCACGGCCCCCTCCCGGACCCTCCTCCCTCCCTGCGACTCGTTAGCCCCATGAAAATTCGCCTGTCGCCGGGCACATCATGGTTATTCCTGCTTCTTGTGATTAGGCTTACCATAAGTCATGCTACAAGTGCAAAGTCTGTCAACGGTCTCTGGACTCGACGCTTCATTGCGATGGTCCCGATCGCGAGATATATTGTCGAGGTATCTTTTTGCAATCCAAGACGTATCTTTACTTTTTTTTCAATTGTGCATCCCCCCCGCCCCACCACAACCACCACCGCCACTACCCCACCATCCATCACCCCCTCCCTCGTTGTTTCATTTTTCGTCGTATTTTATCCATCTGTTCTTGTCTGTCGAATGTTTCCGTTTATTTCTTTTTAACGGTCCTCGATTAAGTACGAAGAACTTTGTCAAGGGGCAAATTTTCATTAGAGTCGAAACTGTCATGGCGGACGCGTCGAGCGTTTGCTCTGCCCTCTAGAGTTCACAGCGAGAAATAAAGGCGGCCATGACACTTACACCGATAGTTGCGCAGATTAAAACGAGCCTAGCTTCCGTTGACACTTTATCTACCGGGCTATTTAGAAACAGTCTTTAATTTGAAATGAATTTTGTACGGTAGCAACCATGTTCGCCGCGCTGTTTTTATTTTTCTTTCTTTTTCTGGTTTTACTTTGAAACAAGAGCCCGATACTTGAAATAACGCGAAACGATCACCAGCATTGGTTAATTAATAGATTTTTCATTGAAAATTTCTGACGACACTCGCAATTTCTAAACGGGAATAACTATGTGTAACATAACATTTGTTTACCCCGATTCCAAGAACTTTTCGGTGACTAACACGTGTCCCTTTGTGTCCCACGCAGCAATGGCACAAGGAATGTTTTAAATGTGCCAACTGCACCAAGAGATTAGATTCCATCAACTGCTGCGAAGGTCCTGACAAGGACATTTACTGCAAAGGTAAGGACTGTGTGCGAACATGCTCGCGGTAACGTAACGCACAGGACGCGTGTCTTAGGTTATGTTATGCAATGGTTGTTCGATAGCCAATTTACGAAATTGAATAATTAATTATCTCGACAAAGTTTAAATGGACAAGTTATAAACAAAGGCAATATGTTTGCGAAGTTGGGCGATTCAAGTCCGATAATATTTAATTAATGATTTAAATAATTAAACGAAATATACAAAGATGTAAAAGTAATTCAAAGTGGAGCTTCGTCGTTCAAGTTAATATTGTCATCGAATATTCCCGTTAGTTTAAATTGATTTTCGATCGTTTCGATATTTCGTATACGCTAATTAAGAGAGTCGGTAAATAATTGTAGTACCTCGTACCTGGAGATAAGGAAGTCTTGCGAGTTAATCCAAGATAAACGAGTTTCCAAGTCCTGAGAGCCTCCGTGTCCCACATGTTTACGAACATTGTCACGCGCACGCTTACGACCGAGACTGAACGTAGTGCACGTTCACCTTTGAGTATATGGACAATCTGAAAGCGTTCACACTAGAGCGGCCGCCATTATGGCGCCTGCGCGGTAGCCACAGGCCCAGCGCAGTCAGTCGGCCCCCCACCAGACGCACTCGTGACGTCATAACTTTCTTCATACATCATTTACAATTTTCAAAAATTGTTAAGGGCCACATGAAAATTAATCCTGACCT